ACTCCTGTTACACTATGAGCGAGGCACAGTTCAGTGCCCCCTAAAGACTCTGCTGGAGGAAAGACGAGACACAATCTTCTGACTCAGTGAAGTAGACTGTCATGAAAACAGCAGACATTAATAAATCCCAACATGGCACAGTTAGATGCCTGCGCTGCAAAAACAAGTGCTTCGTATGTGATTCTTTTTGAGGTGGATTCAGTTACAGTACTTTGGACAAAGACTCAGCACATAGAACAGTTTGATTAGATTTTTCAGGTCTTTCTGTGTGTTATCATCAGATTAGCAGCGCGTGTCCATCATGCTTGCAGATTGCGAAATGATATATATAGTTGCATCTGTTTGTTGTAGCAACATATCCTCTGATCTAACTTTATCTGCCCCGTGAACACTATTTCCTTGTGCTTTTATCTACCAACACTTTACAGGTTATCTCATTTGGTTATGGACATCTGATGCTGCATCTCTTTTGTTTTGAGGAAGGTAATAGATGACTATCTGTCTGTTATCTACACTAAATGTCTATGGATATCATGGTTTCACTATGTCTCATATCCCGTTATCTCATATCAATTATGGTCATTCAGAAAAAAAGGAACTTAAATATACACTTCCATTCATAAGTTTAGAGTCGGTAGGATTAAAAAAAAAAAAAAAGCTTTTGAAAGAAGTCTCTTATGCTCACCAAGGCTACAATTATTGAAACAAAAATATGAAAAACAATAATATTATGAAATATTATTGCAATTTATAATAACTGTAACATTTAATAATTAATTAATTTAATTATAATAATTTAATAATTTATGCATTTAGCAGACGCTTTTATCCAAAGCGACTTACAGTGCATTCAGACTATACATTTTTTACCAGTATGTAACATTTAAAGGATTAGTTCACTTCTGAATTAAAATTTTAAAATGTCCTCACCCCCATGTCATCCAAGATGTTCATGTCTTTCTTTCTTCAGTCGAAAAGAAATTAAGGTTTTTGAGAAAAACATTCCAGGGTTTTTCTCTATATAGTGGACTTCAGTGGGGTTCACTGGGTGGAAGGGTCCAAATTGCAGCTTCAGTGCAGCTTCAAAGTGTTCTACACGATCCCAGACGAGGAAGCAGGGTCTTATCTAATGAAACGATCTGTCATTTTCAAAAAAAAATTACAGTTTATATACTTTTTAACCTCAAACGCTCGTCTTGTCTAATTCTGCGTGAACTCTGTGCAATCCGGTTCATGACAGTTAGGGTATATCGAAAAACTCTCATCTCATTTTCTCCTCCAACTTCAAAATCGTTCTAAATCGCCCTACATCGCTGTTTTACCATTTTTTTGTAAAGGGCGTTTGACCTTCTTTGCATGTTCACTTTGTAAACACTGGGTCGGTACTTCTGCAGCGATGTAGGATGATTTTGAAGTTGGAGGAGAAAATGAGATGGGAGTTTTTCGACCTACCCTAACTGTTTAGAATGGGACTGCACAGAGTACGCATGCGCATTGCAGAGCTACACAAGACAAGCATTTGAGGTTAAAGGGGTCATATGATGTTGCTAAAAAGAACATTATTTTGTGTATTTGGTGTAATGAAATGTGTTTATGCGGTTTAAGGTTAAAAAAACACATTATTTTCCACATAATGTACATTATTGTTTCTCCTCTATGCCCCGCCTTTCTGAAACG